TGGAGTTTGGGATAGTTACAATGCTATCTATTTCTGCATCATCCATCACGTATTCAATATTATGTTTTTACTTTAGATTTAGATTGGAGGATTATTTTATTTTAAGAGTTTAATTTTTAGAATCTATAATTTAGAATTATCGTTCATTTTCTTATTTTGAAGATTTTAGTGATAAAGTCATGGATTAAATAGTTCAAGGTGTTGCGAGTTGATATAGTAGATAGAGGATGATTCTAATTATTGAAGGATGTCCATTAGAATATTGTTTTCTAGTTATGAAAAGTGAACTTAGGGATTGGTGCTTAAGAAAAAGAAATGTCTGGTAAATTTACAACATTAGCTGTATGTCAAAAATACTGTTGGAAGAGTTGCAAGTGATGACTATTGGATAACTTTGACTTAAATTTATAATATATCTATTTGATATTTGAATCCAATGATTGTTTGTTTTAAGAATTGAGGTGATCTAGGATTTTGACTACTAATTGCCTAAAAATGAGTAAACAAAAGTGAAGGATAAAAAAACAATAAATCCCAAATATCAGCCTATAGAACGAACATGTCATTTTTTTTACATTTGTATGAGTTGAAATGATTATAAATTGATAAAATTAGCATTATTTGCTTAGTGAATTTCTTTTATGTGTACATTAACATAGCAGTACTTAAAAGGAGGCAATTTTAAATATTATGCTGAGAGTAATAAAATTGTCCTCTTTTGATGTTTGTTCTTTGTTTTAGTCTTTTTTTAATTTGAAGTTTTGATATCTGTTTTTTCATGCCAAACTATGCATATGTTACATTTAATTGCTTAGTTCTCTTCTCATTTAAATTACAATGTAGAAAAATCTTATTTGTTCATAAAAAAATAAGTTTATTGTTCTCTTTTAATGCTTGTTACTCCCGGTTCTAGTTGATTTTTTTTTATATTTCAATTTTGGTACGCGTAGCTCCCATGGGAAATTATCCATATGTTCTATTTATTTGCTAATGATTTTTTACTTCTTTGAATTATAATATCGACGAATCTTTGTTATTTACAAATTGATTTGCTCACTTTTATTTGCTTATTGTTGATTTCGAACTCCAAAGATGAGGTAAATAATCGTGTACCCAATATTTTGTTTTTGCTCAGCTAATTAAAATAAATTGCTCATGTTATTATGTGACTCTTTAGGCAAAAAATTTAAAATAGTCTAGTTGTTTGTTTTGCATTTTTTATTCTTTTATAGATAACATTGTTTTGTTACTTGAATGGTCTGTGCTCCTCTGCATTTTTATCTTTTTTTTTGTTCTCTTTTTAATTGACATGTAGTGGTTGGTGTCCATATTTATCATACACGAAAGATATTATTTTTTTCCAAATGTGTGGTTGAGATACTGTTGCTTTAATTAATGCATATAGAGAACCCAAAAAGTATGATATTTTTTTATAATTTTTTAAATAATTAATTAATATTCTATATAGTTTTGTTGAATAGTTGTTAAATAAAATATAATACAACATTAGCTTATAACTATTACATAAAATATTTATTTCATAATTAAATGCCAACTGTTTACAAAAGTTGAATAATAAATACCCAAAATTTAATAATTTTTTAAAGTAATATGGAGGAACTCACCAACTTTCATTGAATATACATAAATTTTCATACTTTCTAAAACTAAATAAAAACATTTTACTTTATGAATTATTTCATAATCTACATTTGAAGCATAATTATATGTATAGTTAATCAATTATATAATACAATCAAAATATATATAGTTAATTATTTATATTCTAACATAAATTATTAAAATTTATTGTAAAATTATATTTATCTGCTTTAAATTTATTTATTTTTATTTTCTTTCAATAATAATTAATAAAAAAAATCATCTACAAGGGAGTCTTTTTCATTTTTCTGTCAAATAATCATGTACATTTTTTTAGAATTAATTAATAAGTGTTTATCATACATTCTTATTTATGATATTTTACTTAAAAAAAAACTTTTAATTTATTATCTCTCTCTTAATAATTACAGTTTTTTATCATAAAAATGTTTTAATTTTTTATAAAATATAACAAAAATTTAAAACAACACCCTAAGCCTGGACTCCGTGTAGTTTAACTTTTTTAACGCTGCTTATTTCTTTCTTTTTCTTTTCTTTAAAAAGTTTTTTAAAAAACAAATTGACCGTTGTCGGCGTCATTTTAACGCAGTCTGCATTTCTTTATTTTCCCTTTAAAAGCAAACTGACCGTGCGATTCTCCTCTTCAGACCACCTTCTTCCTTTCTTTTACTTTCAAAAAGTTTTCTACGTTCTTTGTTTTCAGATCTGGCCTTGCCCAGAGAAAAGAAGAGAGATACAAGCACAAAAGAGAGAGAGAAAAACAGGAAAAAGACAGAAACGACCAGACATGGATCTGAAACCCCCCCCATTCTCTTCAATGTGGAGAGGGAAAGAAAAGAATATCAGAAAGAGGTAAGGAAGAAGATGATAGAAAACAAATTAGAATGGTCATCGTTCTACCATTCTTTTTCTTCTTCAGTTTCTTGAGAGCAAAGAACCAAATAGAGAAAGAAAAGAAGAACAAAGAAAGAAGGAAGAAGAAGATCGAAAAGAAGATAGATGGGTTTCTCTTAAAGACCCAACACTACTTGGTCATTCTGTTAAATTTCAATCTCTCTTGTTCACAAGCCTTGCCCAGAGAGAAGTTGAGAAGTACGAGCATAGCAGAGAGAGAAAAAGGGGAAAAAGACAGAAACGAGCAGACATGGATCTGAAACCCCTCCATTCTCTTCAATGTGGAGAGGGAAATAAAAGAATATCAGAAAGAGGTAAGGAAGAAGATGATAGAAAAAAAATTAGAATGGTCATCTTTCTACCATTCTATTTCTTTTTCAGTTTCTTGAGAGCAAAGAATCAAACAGAGAAAGAAAAGAAGAACAAAGAAAGAAGGAAAAAAGAAGATCGAAAAGAAGATAGATAGGTTTCTCTTAAAGACCCAACAGTATTGAAAGATTCAATCTCTTTCCCACAAGCCATGGGCAGAGAGGAGAGAAATACAAGCATAACAGAGGGAGAGAACGGGGAAAAAGATAGGAAAGAACAGACATGGGTCTGAAACTCTTCGTTCTCTTCAATGTCGGGAGGGAAAGAAGCGAATATCGGAAAGAGATGAGGAAGAAGAAGATAGAAAACAAGATTAAAATGGTTCCTCCTATCATTCTTTTTCTTCTTCAGTTTCTTGAGAGCGAAGAATCAAATAGAGAAAGAAAAGAAGAACAAAGAAAGAAGGAAGAAGAAGATCGAAAAGAAGATAGATGGGTTTCTCTTAAAGACCCAACACTACTTAGTCATTCTGTTAAATTTCAATCTCTCTTGTTCACAAGCCTTGCCCAGAGAGAAGGTGAGAAGTACGAGCATAGCAGAGAGAGAAAGAGGGGAAAAAGACAGAAACGAGCAGGCATGGATCTGAAACTCTCCATTCTCTTCAATGTGGAGAGGGAAAGAAAAGAATATCAGAAAGAGGTAAGGAAGAAGATGATAGAAAACAAATTAAATTTTCCTCTCTCTACCATTCTATTTCTTTTTCAGTTTATTGGGAGTAAAGAGCCAAATAGAGAAAGAAAAGAAGAGCAAAGAAAGAGGGATGAAGAAGATCGAAAGAAGAGATATGTCTTTCTCTTCAAAGACCCAACGGTAGCCGGAGGTGATTTTTACTTATCTCTTAATATTGGTAGGTGATCATTCATGGAGTTTGCATAAGTGACTTATTCTTCTTATTTAATGTTTTTAGTTTTCATAAACTTGTTTTGTTATGTGTAGAAGATGAAATTAGAGATATAGCTGAAAATAACTGATGCTGACAAACAATTAGTTAGTTAAGAACAGATGCTACGTAAATATCTGGAACCTGGCAAAGGAAGACATGCAATGAGGAATAATGAATTGTGGTTCTCTTTCTCTCTCTGTGTTCTCTTCTCTGTTATTCTCTCTCTCTGTTTCTCACTCTCTCTGCACTTCTCTCTTTGTTTGCTACATTCTAAACCCTAAAAGCCTTCTTCCTAGATTTCACACACAACATATTTCTAAATTAATTCGAGTTCTTTCTTGTTATGAACATAGCAGCAACTTTCTCAACTGGGGAGATGTTGTTTTTCTTATTCCTTCCTACCATGATTTATAGACTTGAATTTTACTCAAAAATAGCAGCAGTTTCTTGTTTTTTCGTTTAAATATTCCAGATTAGCTTCAATAATTTTACAGACAAACTCTCTTCTGGAATTTGATTTAGTAGGTTCTGTTTTTGATGGAGTTTGCAAAGGTGATCTTGTGGTCTCTGTTTCTAAATACATTTAACATGTTCCTTTGAGCCCCAGGTAGGTTGTGGGAATAGAATATTAATGCTGTGGATATTCCACAATTATATGAACATATTACCCTTTTCCGACTGAGGGAACTTTCAAATTTTTTTTTTTGATTGATTACTTTCCCAAAGTATTCAGAGTACTCGGGTTTTCTTCAAGACTAACATCGTAAAAATATTATAGTAATAATAAATTTAGTGAAAATAAAAGCAAGAAAAACGATTGGATTTGGAGCTCTTTTGCATAGATGGAAATGTAGTCCTTTTTAATCTTTAACTTATCATTTCTTTCACAATTTAAAACTTCTTAAGAAACGATTTTATCTTGTGAACTTTACTTTAAATATTTTCATAATTGGGAATATTTTCAAAAGTGTCGCATACTTCTCATTTATGCTTTCAATTGTTGCAACATTTGCATTTTCAGTATGATGAGATGTTCCCTTCACTATTCAGTGATCATCCTAATATATTTCCTCCACACCTGTCGACATGGGCTAGTGAACTTTGGTACTGAAATAGCATGAAAGGTATGTCCGTAGATGGGAAGCTGAGAACTTGCTCAATTCCGGTTGGTGGCTTCCTGAAACACTCAGTATCTCTTCTCTCTCTCTCTTTAATCATTCTTAAACTTAATCTTTAATCTTAGAATGCGATTGAATGATTTCGTCAGTTGCTTGAAAGTAACTTGTTTACTATTTGCAAAATAATATGCACTCGTTATAACTTTGACTTTAACTCATAGATAATGGTTGATCAATATTATTTTTAAGAAATGCAATGCAATTGGTATTTTTAGGGTAACTTGAATAAGCTAATAAATTTTTCAAGATAATTTACTTTTCTCTGTATGGTCTGCTGGTTTTTCCTTTGGATAATGGCTAGTAGACAGAATGAGTTGTGGTTGTTGCCAAATATATAATATCATCCTTGGACATATATTTAAAATTAGATAGCTAGAATTGCTATTTTCAAATAAGATTAAGAATTGAATGTTGATTAACTTTTATGTATTAAAACTGATAGGTATCGAGTATTTAGTGACGAGCTAGTGATGCATTCAAAACTAGATAGTTAGGATTGCTTTTTTCAGATAAGACTAGGAATTTATATTGATTGACTTTTATGTACTAAAACTCATAGGTATTGAGTACTAGTGATAGGCAAGAAAGTTTTTGTTTGATTTTAGCTCTAACACAATGGTCGGTTAGTATTGTTCTAAGATATTCGATGTAATTGGTGTTTTAAGATGATTAGAATCATTCTGTAGTTTTTTTGGAGGTAGATGACTTTCTTTTGTATGGTTTACTGTTTTTTTTTGTCATAACCCATTATTAGAAAAATGGTGGTTGTTGGTTGTTATGTGGTTTATTTAAACTTAGATGGTTAGGATTGTTGAGTAATGTTAGGAAGTGGACATGGATTGATTTTTTATGTATTGAAGCTAATAGGAATAGAATAGTTAGTAGTAAGTTTGTGGAGGTAAGTTCTTGTTTGATTTTAGCTCCAAGATAGTGGTAAATTATCGTTTCAAAGGCAAGCTAGAGAAGAAAAAAAAGATTGCATATGTATGCGACTTTCTTTTGGATTTAGTTCTAAAAGATAATACATAATTTGAATATAATAACAATTTAAAGTAATTTGTAATTGAAAAAAAAGTTTGGAAAATAAAAGTATCAAGTAAAGGTAGTTTATAAGATGACATCACTAGTAGAACATGAAAAAGAGTTTGGAGCATCAGAGTTAGGCAGCAGGTTAATATACATCGCAATAAATATACTCATTTACTGCATTAAGTGTGTGTGTTGGACCCTAATAGTTTATGTAATGTGGCATCCGAACGTATTGCAAAATGCCGCACTTGCAATGAAAAAATAATTTTTTTTGGCACTCGAACTAAATCTACTGCAAGATTATATCCATAAATTTTTTAACTACATAATTTAATCAAAAAAATACAAAATGTAGATGGAGAGCCAAGTTTTCTTACTTCATTAAAAAAACTAATAGTTTTTAAAATACATAAAATTCTGCGACAGAAAAATTCTAATTTAAAAATTTATCACATATTAGCTTTACTTTAGATTTAGATTGGAAGATTATTTTATTTTAAGAGTTTAATTTTAAGAAACCTATCATTTAGAGTTATCGTCTATTTTCTTATTTTGAAGATCTTAGAAACCTAATAGCTTTTAAACTAAAACAAAAATTACATTTAGCTCTTCAACTTTTTTAGCAAACAAGCATCTCAAACACAATAACGGCAAACTACAACAAACAAATTACAACTACCCTTACAAACTGACAAGGAAAAATAGTAAACTTTAAGTATCAACCCAGAAATTGAATATCTCGTTTTTAACATTTTCATGAGTTGAAATGATTATAAACTAAAACAATCTAGTATTTTTCGTCAATGAATTTCTTTGTGTGTACATTAATGTAGCAATACTTGAGGCTGTTTTTAATGTCATGCATAGGACAACAAAATTGTCCTCTTTTAATGGTCGTTTTTAATGTCCATGTCAAGTTGTGCATATGTTATATTTAATTGCTATTGATTCTCTTCTGATTTGAATTACAACATAAAAGAGTCTTGATCATTTATAAATTGATATGCTTACTTTTGTGTAGTTGTTGTAGATTTCAAATGGTAAAAATCAGGTAAATAAACATATATTCAATAGTATATTTTTTCTTTAACTAGTTAAAATTTTATTTCTTTGTTATTATGAAGATCTTTAGGTAAAAAGTTGAAAGGAATCTAATCATATATTATCTCTGTTTTGTTCTCTTTTCTGGGTAACATTGCTGGAAAAATGTCGGGTTATGATATATTTGTGAAATAAAAGGTTTATTTTTTAATGCTTATGACATGAATTTTATTTTTTATTACATATATTTTTTAGTATTTAGAATTATTTACTTAACTATATTCTTTTTGGTTACTTTAATATAGGACTACCGAAGGTTATTATCAATCTTAGGAATACTTTTAACGTAAATAATCATGTGTTTTTATCTTTTTGGGTAGCTAATATTTTTATATTTTATTAGTGCGTAACTCTTTGTCAAAACGTTTAAGATGGTCCAGGCGTGTCACTTGTGTTTTGTTTTCTTTTGTTCGTAGCACTCTTTTAGATATAGATTATGAGGAACCAGCGGAATAAGAGGTTTGTCTTTCTTCTTTTATCCTGTTTTTCAGTTTTGTTTTGTTTTTTTTCATCCTAATTTTTTCTTTAATATTTTTTAATGGAGTTGGAGAGAGTTACAACGTTATTTATTTCTGCATCATTTATCACATTAAGTTTTAAAAAGTTTTTAGATGGAGCTTCATAAGGAGATCTTCTCCATGATCATTTTAGTTAAAAAGATTTGTGGTTCGATTTGATGGCAGATAATGGTACTGGCGGGAACTCGTCTTCTTCGGTTGCAGGAGTACTTGGTCAGCAGTTTCTTTTGTTTCTTCAATGTTTCTAATAAGGTTGCATTTACTTAATTGGTAATTAGGATTTTGGAGCTAAACCATACAGTGGTTTAGTACTATGAGCTGCTGTGTTTTATGAGATATCTCTTTCTTCTTGTTTTTTCCATTATATTTCTTAGATTTTGGTATGTTTGTCTTGTTTCTCGCGTCGCTGGCAAGATGACGGAGGTCATGACCATTCTTTAAAATTGTGCTGTAAGTTGTGAAAATTCAAATTTCATTTTAATAATTTTGCATATTTACTGATTGTAGCAAACCTGCGAATACTGACTCTCTTACTTACGCTGGCAAGCTCTCAGTATAGCCTACGGCGGGCTTTACGGTATGTGAGCAACAAAAGAGGGAGAGTGTGTATGAAGAAGAGAACCAGAACGGCAGAGGAAGAGAGTTCGTATGAAAGTTTACCTCATGATTCTATTATCTGATTAGTCAATTATTTTTATTTTTTTACTAACTAATCAAACAATAATTTTTAAATTATGCTACCATAACTTAGTTGAAGGATGAATTTGAACATTAAAAACATACATGACGCTAGATCGATATGAACAATGCAAAACAAACAAATTGTAATTAGAAACTGAAATTGAAATAAAAATACAAACAAATTCAAATACATTAACAAATTCAAGTATACTGAAAGAAAAATTCAATTAATTTTTTTGCAATTCCATAAAAATGAGACAAACAACTAAGTCGAGTGAAACTATACAATAAACGAAAACAACAAGTAGCCGCTGAAATTCTAATACAATTACAAATAAATTCAAATACAATCACAAACTCAAGTAAACCAAAATAAAAATTACATTTAGCTCTTCAATTTTTCCAACAAACAAACATCTCAAACACAATAACGAGAAACTACAAGAAACAAATTACATCTACCCTTACAAATAAACTCAGATACAATTACAAAGTCAAGTAAACCAAAATAAAAATTACATTTGGCTCTTCAACTTTTCCTGTAAACAAGCATCTCAAACACAATAACGACAAATTACTGCAAACAAATTACAAACTGACAAAGAAAAAGAATAAAACCCAAGTATCAACCCTAAAAACAAATTCTCGTTTTAATATTTGCATGAGTTGAAATGATTATAAAATAAAAAAATTTAGCATTATTTTGTCAGTGAATTTCTTTATGTGTACATTAACATAGTAATACCTGAGATTGTTTTTAATGTTATGCAGAAGACAACAAAATTGTCCTCTTTCAATGTCTGTTGTTCTTGATTTTAGTCGTTTTTTTTTATTTGAAGTTTTGATATCCGTGCATGCCTGTTTTTAAAAGAGTCTTGATCATTTATAAATTGATATGCTCACTTTTGTGTAATTGTTGTAGGTTTCAAACGGCAAAAATCAGGTAAATAAACACGTATTCAATATTATGTTTTTTTTATAACTAGTTAAAATTTTCTTTCTTTTTACTATGAAGATCTTTAGGCAAAAAGTTAAATAGAGTCCAATCATATATATATATATTTTGTTCTTTTTTGTGGGTAACACTGCTGAAAACATGTTGGGTTATAAGATATTCGTGAAACAAAAGGTTTATTTTACTTTGCTTATGATACAAATTTTATTTTCTAATATATATATATATATTATATTTAGAATTATTTACTTAACAATATTCTCTATGTTTACTTTAATGTAGGACTAGCGAATGTTATTATCAATCTTAAGGAGCACTTTTAAGGTAAATAAGTATGTGTTTTTATCTTTTTAGGTAGTTAAAATTTTTATATTTTGTTAGTATGTAACTCTTTAGGCAAAAAGTTTAAGATGGTACAGACGTGTCACTTGTGTTTTATTCTTTTTTGTTGGTAGCACTCTTTTAGACGTGGATTATGAGGTATCCGTGGAATAAGAGGTTTGTCTTCCTTCTTTTATCATATTTTTAAGTTTAGTTTTAATTTTTTAAAGCCTAATTTATTTTTTAAATTTTTTTGATGGAGTTGGAGAGAGTTACAACGCTATCTATTTCAGCATCATCTATCACATTCTGTTTTAAAAAAGTTTTATTTGGAGCTACAAGGAGATCTACTCTACGATCACTTTAGTGGAAAAGAAGATATGTGGTTCGATTTGATGGCAGATACTGGTGATGGCGGGAACTCGTCTTCTTCGGTTGCAGGAGTACTTGGTCAGCGGTTATTTTTTATTTTTTTAATATTTCTAATAAGGTTGCATTTACTGAATTGGTAATCAGGATATTGGAGCTGGTCTGTTACACAGTTGTTTGGTACTATGAGCTGTTGTGTTTTATGAGGTATCTCCTTCTTCTTATCTTTCACATTATAGTTTCTGAGTTTTGGTATTTTTGTCTTGTTTCTCGCGTCATTGACAAAAGGAAGGAAGTCCTGACAATTCTTCAAAATTGTGCTGTAAGTGATGAAAATTCAATTTTTGTTTTAATGATTTTGCATAATTACTTGTTGTAGCAAACCTGCGAATAGTGGCTGTCTTACTTACGCTGGCAGGTTCTCGGTATAGCCTGCGGCGTGCTTTACGGTCTGTGAGCGACAAAAGAGGGAGAGTGTGTACGTAGAAGAAAACCAGAGCGACAGAGGAAGCGAGTTCGTATGAAATTTTACCTCATGATTTTATTATCTGATTAGTCAATTATTTTTAATTTTTTACTATCTAATCAAACAATAATTTTTAAATTATGCTACTATAACTTAGTTAAAGGATGGATTTGAACACTAAAAAGCTACATGCGATAGATCGATATGAACAATGCAAAGCAAACAAATTATAATTAGAAACTGAAATTGGAACAAAAATACAAAAAAACTTGAATACAGTTAGTAATCTAAGTACACTGAAAGAAAAATCCGATTGATTTTCTTGTAATTCCTAATAAATAAAACAAACAACTAACTTGAGTGAAATTACAACAAACTAAAACGACATATTTTAACAACAAGTAGGCGTTGAAATTCTAATACAATTACAAACAAACTCAAATAGAATCACAAATTCAAGTAAACCAAAACAAAAATTACATTTAACTCTTCAACTTTTCCAGATAACAAAAATCTCAAACACAATAACGAGAAACTATAACAAACAAATTACATCTACCCTTACAAACAAACTCAAATACAATTACAAAGTCAAGTAAACCAAAACAAAAACTACATTTGACTCTTCAACTTTTCCTGCAAACAAACATCTCAAACACAATAACGATAAATTACCGCAAACAAATTACAACTTCCCTTACAAACTGACAAGGAAAAATGGTAAAACCCAAGTATTAGCCCTGAAAACGAATATCTCGTTTTAATATTTGCGTGAGTAGAAATGATTATAAATTGAAACAATTTAGCATTATTTTGTCAGTGAATTTCTTTATGTGTACATTAACATAGTAATACTTGAGGCTGTTTTTAATGTTATGCAGAAGACAACAAAATTGTCCTCTTTTAATGTCTTTTCTTTTTTATTTTAGTCGTTTTTTTTAATTTAAAGTTTTGATATCTGTCTATGCCTGCATTTGTTACATTTAGTTGCTATTGGTTTTCTTCTGATTTTAAAAGAGTCTTGATCATTTATAAATTGATATACTCACATTTGTGTAATTGTTGTAGATTTCAAACGCTCAAAATCAGGTAAATAAACACGTATTCAATATTATATTTTTTCTATAACTAGTTAAAATTTTCTTTCTTTGTTACTGTAAAGATCTTTAGGCAAAAAGTTAAAGAGAGTCCAATCATATATTATCTTTTTTTTGTTATCTTTTGTGGGTAACACTACTAGAAACATGTTGGTTTATAAGATATTCGTGGAACAAAAGGTTTATTTTGCTTTACTTACGATATAAATTTTATTTTCTAATATATATAATTTTTTTCTATTTAGAATTATTTATTCAGTAATATTCTTTATGTTTACTTTAATGTAGGACTAGTGAACGTTATTATCAATCTTAGGGAGCACTTTTAAGGTAAATAAGCATGTGTTTTTATCTTTTTGGGTAGTTAAAATTTTTATATTTTGTTAGTATGTAACTCTTTAGATAAAAAGTTTAAGATAGTATAGGCGTGTCACTTGTATTTTATTTTCTTTTGTTGGTAGCACTCTTTTAGACGTGGATTATGAGGTATCCGTGGAATAAGAGGTTTGTCTTTCTTCTTTTATCATATTTTTCAGTTTAGTTTTGCTTTTTTTAAGCCTAATTTATTTTTAAAATTTTTTTGATGGAGTTAGAGAGAGTTACAACGCTATCTATTTCTGCATCATCAATCACATTAAGTTTTAAAAAGGTTTCATTTGGAGCTACAAGGAGATCTACTCTATGATCACTTTAGTGGAAAAGAATATATGTGGTTCGATTTGATGGCAGGAACTCATCTTCTTTGGTTGCAGGAGTGCTTGGTCGGCGGTATTTTTTTGTTTCTTTAATGTTTATAATAAGATTGCATTTACTGAATTGGTAATCAGGATATTGGAGCTGGTCTATTATACAGTCATTTGGTACTATGAGCTGCTGTGTTTTATGAGGTATCTCTTTCTTCTTGTCTTTCACATTCTATTTCCTGGGTTTTGGTATGTTTATCTTATTTCTCGCATCGCTGGAAGGAGGTCCTGACCATTCTTCAAAATTGTGCTGTAAGTGATGAAAATTCAATTTTTATTTTAATAATTTTTCATAATTACTTGTTGTAGCAAACCTGCGAATAGTGGCTGTCTTACTTACGTTGGCAGGTTCTCGGTATAGCCTACGGCGTGCTTTATGGTCTGTGAGAGACAAAAGAGGGAGAGTGTGTACGAAGAAGAGAACTAGAGCGACAGAGGAAATGAGTTCGTATGAAATTTTACCTCATGATTTTATTATCTGATTAGTCAATTATTTTTATTTTTTTACTAACTAATCAAACAATTATTTTTATTTTTTTGCATGAGTTGAAATGATTATAAATTGAAATAGTTTAGCATTAGTTGCTCAGTGAATTTCTTTATGTGTGCATTAACATAGCAATACTTGAGGCTGTTTTTAATGTTGTAGATGACAACAAAATTGTCCTCTTTTAATGTCTATTCTTCTTTATTTTAGTCGTCTTTTTTTGTTTAATTTGAAGTTTTGATATACGTCCATGCCAAGTTGTGCATATGTTACATTTAATTGCTATTGGTTTTTTTCTTATTTTAATTACAACGTAAAAAGGTCTTGATCATTTATAAATTGATATGCTCAGTTTTGTATAGTTGTTGTAGATTTCAAAGGGTAAAAATCAGGTAAATAAACACGTATTTAATATTATATTTTTTCTGTAACTACTTAAAATTCTTTTTCTTTGTTGTTATGAAAATCTTTAGGCAAAAAGTTAAAAGAGAGCAAAACCCAAGTATCAGTCCTGAAAACAAATATATCATTTTTTAGATTTGCATAAGCTGAAATGACTATAAATAGAAATAATTTAGCATTATTTCGTTAGTGAATTTCTTGATGTGTACATTGACATAGCAATACATGAGGCTGTTTTTA